CTCCAAACCAAAGACTGGAGTGTTGATGCTGAACATGGGAGGACCAGAGACAGAGGGGCACGTCCAGGACTTCTTAACTCGGCTCTTCTTAGACCGAGACTTAATGCAGCTCCCAGCTCAACAGTACGTAGTGGTATTGATATCAACATTTACACATTAAGATGAATGCAAATCATTGCCACAAATTTTTAGCTCACCTGAGCTGAAAGCTCAAGTGAGCTTTTCTGATCACATTTTGTCTGGCATCTGTCTAGCTGTCTGTCTGTCTGTAAATTTTCACATTTTCGACTTCTTCTCCCGAACCACTGGGCCAATTTCAACCAAACTTGTCACAAAGCATCCTTGGGTGAAAGGGATTCAGATTTCTTCAAATGAAGGGGAGATAATTCAGAAATAGTGAAAATTTCATGGCATGTTTTAAAAATATTCTTCTCAAGAACCATTACATACATGTGATATGTACTGGCTGTACAGGAAATGTCCCGTATTTTCGACCCCCATCACGGTGTCCCGGCAGTACACCAAAATTCACGGGAAATGAAAATGTGTACCGTATTTTGAAATGTTTACCGGAAACCGCCATTTTTCTTTCATTCCCGCTCTCGCAACACCGGAAATCTCATACCATGCGTGACTTACTGCGCTTGATTAATGTAAACAAAACATCATGAACAAAGGTGTGAAATATTCCCGTGATAATTACATCGTACTTAGGAGATATCAAAGCGTTTTGTTTGGCTGATTGCTTTTTAATTGGATCTTTATCAAGGATTTTTAAAACTGTAATTTATTAAAAACTAAAGACATTTCGAAGAGAAAACACCATTCACAAGAATCGGAGACACTTTGTGACAGCAAAACGAAATTTAGTCCATTATTTGATTAGGCATATGTATTGTCTGTTCAAACACATATTAAAAGAAATGTTTTTTTAGAGCAATTTAAAAATTGCAGCTGAATGGAAATGACCAGACTCATAAACTGTTTTTATAAACACTGTACCCTTTACTAAGTTTAGTTTAATGCCGAAATTCAAAATTCTTCAAGAGTTTCTTGAAATGAAGAATAAATCATAATACATGTTATGCAGTGGTGCACCTGTACATTGATTTGAAATTTATTATTAAAAAATTAACACCTTACATTTGTATTTTAGTCGATATTTTGTACCTTTTTTGTAGTTTTTTGATTAGCAATGTACAGTATTTTCAACCAAATTCCAGTATTTTGAAGGCTGCTGTACAGTATCTGGGTCTAGAAATTATCACATGTATGCATTATGCCAGAAAAGATGAAACTTATGGGGAAACATACTGATGTAAGCAATTCAGCTGCATCAGTATTTTGACCTTTCATTTGATCTTGACCTCAGTTTTATCAAATTGTGTTTAAGTCAGTTTTAAAGAAACCATTCATAATATTTTTTTCAACTACATTTGCTGATGAGGGCTTTTCAACTGCATCAACATTTGGCCTTTCCTTTGACCTTGACCTCACTTTTCTGAAATTAGTGTCAAACTTCATTTGCTGATACATACTGATGTAAGCAATTCAACTGCATCACCATTCAAGATATTCTGATCAAATTTCATACACTAATACAAATTTTCATGTTGCTTAACTAATATACCCTCAGTGGGGCATTCATGTCCTTTGGACATATTTCTAGTTTTGTTAAAGTGGGTCAAACTCCAAGATCAAGAAGTCAAATGTGGTGGTACCCAAAGAAAACTCTCTATGTTTTGTCTCAAGGAATATGCCGGTGAAATATGAAAGCCATAGTCCCTATAATTCAAAAGTTATGGCCAAGTTTTTGCGAACAAGCAGACAGATACACAGACAGACAGATGGTCAGATAATTAATCAATGAATCATTATACCTCCCGCAAACGAAGTTTGGGGGGGTATATAGGAATCACCTTGTCCGTCTGTCTGTCTGTCTAGCTGTCCGTCTGTCTGTGCAAACGTGTCCGGTCCATATCTTTCTTACAGACGGACGTTAGAATCTACTACTCCACTCAAAGATTGCCCATGACCTAAGGGTGTGTCATAACCTTGACCCAAGGTCATTTGGGGAAGTTCAAGGTCACTGGAAGAAAAATTTCATAATTCGTGTCCGGTCCATATCTTTCTTATGGATAAACTTGGTAGGTTCTCATTTCACACAAAGATTGCCCATAACCCAAGGATGTGTCATGACCTTGACCCAAGGTCATTTGGGGAAGTTCAAGGTCACTGGAAGAAAAATTTCATAATTCGTGTCCGGTCCATATCTTTCTTATGGATAAACTTGGTAGGTTCTCATTTCACACAAAGATTGCCCATAACCCAAGGGTGTGTCATGACCTTGACCAAAGGTCATTTGGGGAAATTCAAGGTCACTGGAAGAAAAATTTCATAATTTGTGTTTTATACATATCTTTCTTATGGAAAAACTTACTTCTGAAAAATCCAGCGGGGGGTATTTTATCCCATTTGGACAGTTCTAGTTATTTTTTGAAAGAAATAGTCTCATAATGCAACGGTGTGTGCAAACAAATTCAGAGTAACGCACGTTTGCACACACCGTTGCAGATATGAGACTATCTCTTTCAAAAAATAATGATTCATTGCTTATATATTTCAAAGGAAAAAGAAACGCAGGGTTAACTTTTGAGGTGAATTAAATTTATTTTTATTATTTTTAGCTCACCTGAGCTGAAAGCGCAAGTGAGCTTTTCTGATCCAGCATTGTCTGTTTGTCTGTCTGTCTATCCTTCTGTCTGTCCATCCATCCGTCTGTTAACTTTTCACATTTTCAACTTCTCAAGAACCACTGGGCTAATTTTAACCAAACTTGATACAAAGCATCCTTGGGTGAAGGGAAATTTAAATTGTGAAAATACAGGGCCAAGTCCCCTTCCAAGGGGAGATAATCAAGAAAATACAAAAATAGGTGGAGTCATTAAAAAATCTTCTTCTCAAGAACCACTGGGCCAGAAAAGCTGAAACTTATGTGGAAACATCCTGGGCTAGTGTAGAATCTAAATTGTTCAAATCATGCCCCCCCCCCCTGGGGGTAGGGCAGGGCCACAATAGTGAATCAAAGTTTTACATAGAAATAAATAGGATAAAACTTTAAAAATCTTCTTCTCTAGAACCACTGGGCCAGAAAAGCTGAAACTTATGTGGAAGCATCCTGGGCTAGTGCAGAATCAAAATTGTTCAAATCATGACCCCCAGGGTTAGGCGGGGCCACAATAGGAAAAAACTTTAAGAAATTCTTCTCAAGAAACACATGACCAGAAAAGCTGAAACTTAGGTTGAAGCAGCCTAGGGTAGTGTAGAATCTAAATTGTTCGAATCAAGACCCCAGGGGAATGAGAGGGGCACAATAGGGAATCCAAGTTTTACATTGAAATATATAGGAAAAAACTTAAAAAATCGTCTTCTCAAGAGCCACTGGGTCAGAAAAGCTGAAACTTATGTGGAAGCATCCTGGGGTAGTGTAGATTTTGAATTGTTCAAATCATGACCCCTGGGGGTAGAATGGGGTCACAATAGGGAATCCAGGTTTAACATTGAAATATATAGGAAAAACTTTAAAATCTTCTCAACAACCACTGGGCCAGAAAAGCTGAAACTTAGTGGAAGCATGTTGGTTTAGTGTAGATTCTAAATTGTTCAAATCTTGACCCCTGGGGGTAGGGCGAGCCATAATAGTTATTTAAATGGGGAAATCTTGTAAAGAACAGCATGGCCAAAGTCACTCAGGTGAGCGATGTGGCCCATGGGCCTCTTGTTCTCAATGTTCCAATCAAATTTTAAAATCATCTTTAAAGAAAACGTAACTAAAGTCCCATTTGATTTTGTCTTATAATTCATGAGTTATTGAAACTCATATTACAAAACCCCCGAAAAGTGAAAATCGAAAACTCTCATTACCTTCTATGTCTCCCCCGTGCAATTGTCACAGCCTTGATTGTCCTTTGCATGGAATTCATCAGAGTGTTTATCTTTCAAACCCTGGCTATACTGGGCATGGGTAACAATGTGCCAAAATATTAGTCAAAAGACGAGCGCATGCGCCATTGAGAGGAAAACAACATAAAGTTGACCGCCATAAAAATCCAAATTGCGTTTCTTTTAAAATCGGGGTGAATATGATGATTATGATCGTCTACTGTATAAATAGCTGTTTTTTAGTAGCAGTAAGTAGTAAGGTGGTTATTAAACAGGTGGCAGGACAAATACCCCGATCATAACGTGGCCCTGTTTTGCCTCGATGTCATCATTACGGTTGGAAACCATTCCAGGCCCTCTCTGACAACAAGTAACACATTTTATGGGGGGGGATTTACAAGAAACTGTTCAGTAACTTATTGTTGCCTTTGTTCCTACTTAGGCATTTCGAAAACCAAACCCCATGGAACTTCCGTAAACTGTAGTACCAAATTTGCAAGAAATTAATCATCTGTAAATATTGAAAAACAGTGTGTTTACCTCAGGTGCATCAAATGGTACAACAAGATTTGTTGACAAACTCGTTGCCATCAGTTTGCTTTTTAGCATTTTACCTATGTGACGTCATACATTTTTCTGTTGAGTAGATTTTGGTACATAGTAATTAACATTCTCATGTTCTCATTCTCATTCGGTCATGCTGTTAAAAATATTTTGAATATTATGCTACCCTGCCTTTCTTTTTCCTTTCAGCATATTTACATTTTTTAAACTCTCTACCTTGACTGCAATTGTGATTTATATTTAAAAACCTATATCTTATCCTTCGTGTAAGCTACTCTCAATGGAACAGCCTACATAACATAATGATATCTGCATATAATTTATATTATTATTATATATATGGTTCCTGTGAATACAACTAAAAAATTTTTAAAGAAGCATAAACATAGAATTGAAGTACATGTAGTATCAGATATATTTATTGTCATTTATGACAGAGTGCTTGGTCCAAGGATTGCCCAGAGAAGGACACCAAAGATTCAGGAGCAGTACAGGAAGATTGGAGGGGGATCACCAATCAAACGGTGGACGGAGACCCAGGGTCAGGGAATGGTCAAAATACTGGACCAGATCAGTCCACAAACAGGTTAGTCTAATACTGGACCAGATCAGTCCACAAACAGGTCAGTCTAATACAAGACCAGATCAGTCCACAAACAGGTCAGTCTAATACTGGACCAGATCAGTCCACAAATAGGTCAGCCTAATACAAAACCAGATCAGTCTACAAACAGGTCAGTCTAAAGACCCATTATAAATACTAGACCAGATTAGTCCACAAACAGGTCAGTGTAATACTGGACCAGATCAGTCTATAAACTGCAAACCAAAGGGTCAAGTTACATTTCAATTGTCTGTTGTTGACATAATATTGTCACATTTTCATCTTATACTTCTCTAAAAGCACTGTGTCAATTTGCCACAAAGCATTTTTGGGTGAAAATTAGGGCTGGGACGATACAACTTTTTCTATATCGATATGTATCACAATATTTGAGCCATGATACGATATGTGTCACGATATGTTTAATTGGTTATAAAATCTTTTTTTGCATTGAAAGAAACAAATTATTTCTTTGCAAATAAGAATAATTTATTCAAAATAGTTTTTTATATGTTGTAAAACAAAAATATTTTACTGAAGTGGTGTTAATTATTATTTATTTCATGTCTATATTTATGTTTAGCTTATTTATTCTATATATTAAACCCCAAATGTTCAATAAACAAAGAAAAACAGAACTCAGATTTTTTTGGTGATATATTGATATTTCTACATATGTATTGATATGCGTATCGTCCTGACATTTATCTCAATTTATCGATATCTTGATATATCGTCCCAGCCCTAGTGAAAATTGGGGGGGGGGGGGCAAATTTATTCAAATGAAGTTTCACTCCCTTTATTGGAGATAAGTGTTAAAGAAAATTTATTGGCAAATTTTTAAATCATTTCAAGAACCACTAGTCTAGAATGGATAAAGCTAATGGGGAAGCTTTGTTACAAAGTTAATATTAAATTTTTTTAAAATTAATGCCCCAAGGGAAGGATGGGGCAAATTGTGCAATCAAAGTTTTTCATGTATATAGAAATTTTAAAAAAAAAAAAAAAACATTTCAACAGTAGCAAAATCTTGTTTCTCTATGTTTTCTCTGTGATAACTCTTTTAAAGTTAGGTAAGTTGATTTCATGATAAATCAACCTGAATGTAAATTTTACCAAGCGAAAGGTCAGGAGCTAAGGAGGCCTTATATTCATGGAAATCTTGTGCAGCTGTCTTTGTGTCTGATGCCAGTGGACAATGAATATTGAAATTAACATGGCAAGCACATGTAATTTAAATCTATTAGACAACATTTTTGAAATCTAAATCTACAATTTTACAGTACAATAGAAATATGAAGAATCACAGTCAAGTTTATTGGGTATGCCAAGGACATCAACGCCTGTTATGCAAATTATACCATATTTCCAACTATTGTTGATGCCCATGCATACCCAACAAAGTACCAGTAGATTCTTTAACAAATTCAGATGAACATTCAAATAGACAATCAAACTTTAGATAATACACAGTCAGGAAAAGTCTAAAAATCTTTTTCTTCAGTACAGCAAAACCATGAGAACATGGCTCTTAATTCATGTTTACAGTGAAGTGATTTTAAATCACTGGTTACCTTGCTAAAAAATTCTGTATTAAGATAAAACAAATAACATTTTTGACACATCATTTTTCTTCATCCGTTGCAATTCACTATAATAAGTGTGTTTTACTGTAGTCATAATCCTTAGTTGAGGAAGACTGAAGTTTGTGTGTGGGTTCAAATCTTTGGTGGAGGGGTAGGATGGGCCCATTATGTGCAATAATAGTTTAACATATGGATAACATTTGTGATATTCATGTGGAAGCCTCCTAGGACAGTCTACTCAAGTTTGTTCAAATTGTGATCCTACTGGGTAGCCTAGGATGGGACAGTAGTCATTGTTTTTTATAGGTAAAGGTAAAAAAATCTCAAAAACTGCAAAGCAATGACTGTATGTACATGTGTTTAGAAGCATCCTAAAATAGTTTACATACAAGTTTCTTCGAATCATGACCCTTACAATTTTATATAGAAATATATGGGAGTAGAGGACAGCTGGAATTTACTGACTTTGAAAGCAGTATGACCCAAAGAAATAAAGTTTATTCTCCAAGCAGACAGACAATAAATTATTCATCTGATTATGTATTTGTTTTGTTTTTTCAGCTCCACACAAGTTTTATGTTGGTTTTCGATATGTACACCCACTTACAGAGGATGCTATAGAGGAAATGGAGAGGTACTCAAGTAATACTACAATTAAACATTGTACGCATGTCTTAAAGAAATAAGATATCATTTTTAGAGTTTCATTGGGGTATGACATGAAGTTGGTCACACGATCAAATCCATAGCGCCAGAAGGGCGTGATAGTAGATTTGATCACCCACCAAATTCATGTCATAACCAATGAAACTCAAAAAGAGGATATTTTATATTGTTTTTAGCTCACCTGAGCCTAAGGCTTAAGTGAGCTTTTCTGATTACATTTTGTCCGTCGTCCATCTCCATCCGTCCATCTGTCTGTCTGGCTGTCCGTCCGTCTGTAAACTTTTCACATTTTTGACTTCTTCTCAAGAACCACTGGGCCATTTTAACCAAACTTAATACAAAGCATCATTGGGTGAAGGGGAGTTTAAATTGTTTAAATGAAGGGCCAAGTCCCATCGCAAGGGGAGATAATCAAGAAAAGACAAAATAGGTTGGGGTCTTTAAAAAAATCTTCTTCTCAAGAACCACTGGGTCAGAAAAGCTAAAACTTATGTGGAAGCATCCTGGGGGAGTATAGATTCTAAATTGTTTAACTCATGACCCCCGGGGCTGGCCGGGGCCACTATAGGGAATCCAAGTTTTATATAGAAATACCAGTATGTAGGGAAAAAACTTTAAAAATCTTCTCAAGATCCACCGGGCCAGAGCAGCTGAAACTTATGTTGAAGCATCCTTTGATAGTGTTGATTCTAAAATGTTCAAATCATGACCCCCAGGCTTTGGGTGGGACCACAATAGGGAATCAAAGTTTTACATAAAAATATATAGAAAAATTCTATAAAAATCTTCTTAAGAACCACTGGGTCAGAAAAAACTAAAGCTTATGTCAAAGCATCCAGGGGTAGTGTAGATTCTAAATTGTTCAAACCATGACCCCCCGTGGGTAGGACGGGGCCATCATTTGGAATCCACGTTTTACATGGAAATATATAGTAAACAACTTTTAAAATCTTCTTCTCAGGAACTACTGGGCCAGAAAAGCTGAAACTTATGTGAAAGCATTATGGGGTAGTGCAGATTTTAAATTGTCCAAATTATGATGGTCATTGACCCATGGGGTAAGGTGGGATCACAATAAGTATTACAAGGGGGAAATCTCGGGAAGAACAGCATGGTCAAAGCTACTCAGATGGAATAATTGTCTAAATTTTTTATTTCATGATGTGATCAATCCAGTGGCTTGTGTGATAATTTGCATAAATGCCTTCGGTGTTTATAAATGCATTAAATTATCACGCAAGCCAATTAATTAAGTACTACTTGATGTGTCCTTGCTTCTAAAATAAGATGATTAATTAATTTTTGAATACAGTAAATATAAGAAGAATCCTTGATATTTGTGATGTTTTTACAGTGATGGTATAGAGAGGGGCGTGGCCTTCACTCAGTACCCCCAGTACAGCTGTTCTACAACTGGCAGCAGTATCAATGCTTTCTACAGACATTACGCCAAGCGAGCACAACCCTCCAGCATACTGTGGAGCTGTATTGACCGCTGGCCCACCCACCCGGGCCTGATCCAGGTCAGATTTCTTATCACTCAGACATAGGCTTTCAGATAGCAGAACTTAATCCATTCAAGCTTTTAATCATTATTAATATCATTTTTATTTCTTTCTTTACATTAAGGATTATTTTTACAAGGTCACTGCAGCTCTGTTTAACCATTTATGGCACATAGTAATTTGTATTTTGTTTGTTGAACATAACTTTGAGATGCTTCCACTTGCTGGTGGGGGACTGCAAATAAGACATGTACTCCCACATTATGACCTTTTGAGCAAAAGATTTAAAGGACCAGTCCTACCTCAGTCAACACTGACAGGGGCGTCGGCAAGTATTTGACATTGGGGAGGCGAACTAGATTGAAAAGGGGGGGGGGGGGGAGTTCACTGACGTGTTTTTACTTAAATTCAAATTTCTACCAGTATATTGATATATTTTCCCATTCTGTCAATGTTTCAAAGACTCCACCTGATTAAAAAAACAAAATCGTTTTATATGATTTTATTTACGTCATGTCATAAGCACATATGAGAAGCACGTAGTTGAATAAATATTATTTTGAGATGCATATATACTTATCTTTAAAATAATCAATTAATAAGCACTAATAAACTCTACATAAATGAAATCTGTTCATTAAATAATACACAATGTCACTGCACTTTAAAAGCGTCCAAAAATGAAGCTCCGTCCATCCCGTGCTGACACAAAGTCGTTAGCAACTGCCAAAATGTTCAACGCATCTGTAGCCTCCCTGTGCGTGTGCAGGATCATCAAATGATTCAGCCTTTCTTGGGACATAGTGGCACGAAGATAAGTCTTTACTCGACGCAAAGCAGAAAATGTTCGCTCACTTGTAGCGTTAGTGGCTGGCATCACTAAAATAAGTCTCAGTAGAGTCAAATCTCGGAGAATAGGCATCTGGAAGCTGGAGACATCTGAGACACTAAGGTCACCAAAAAGGAAACGGACACAGTTGAGGAATCATTTAAGTTGTTTCGTGCGAGCGTTGTAAATGTATCCAGCTGTGAAGAAAGAGAGGTCTTGTCCAGATCATCTCCATAGAACTTTAAGACAAAGTCCGAATCTTCTTTGTATGTCTTGTCGCCACGCACAGACTTCAGAAGAACGTCCTCTAGATGGCGATACACTTGATAGCCTGGCTGATCAAAACGGTCTTTGACACAGTTCACCACAAGATCCAGAGCTTCGAAGTACGGTTGTCTGTAGAGGTCTTTCTCTGATGTGGCGAATTCTGGAGCGGCCTTTCCGGTTTCAAATCGCTTGGGCATTTTTCTTCGCCGTGGCAATGTGGGCTCACTGACGTCCAGTTCATCAAGTTTTCCGTTAAGTGATTCCCAGAATGAGTCGAAGGACTCTTCCTTTCGCATTGCACTTAGTGATGTCAGGGAAAGGTCTGTCAAGTGTTGGCCCTCGGCAGCTGACAGGTCTTTCTTCTGAAGTGTTCGGCTAAGATTGTCTGTGTGAAGTAGAATCTCGTATCCAAGGGACACTCCAAAGAGAAAGTCAAAACTTTGCATCTGAGTTTTTACGCCGATGATCCTGGAACGGGCTTCTGGATCCTTTGTGCACTCATAGCAGGTCTCCCATAAGGACTGAAGGACAGAGTAGTTTTCCAGAACGCTGTTCAAACTGGCAGCTCTAACAGTCCATCGAGTAGGGCATAGCACACGGAATCCCGGCGTATCAGGTGCCATCTCACGCTTTAGCTGTTCCAATATGGTATCCCTCCTGGGCGAATACTTTACAAGTTTGGACATTTCAAACACAGTATCCAAGGAATCACGCATCACCTTTGATTTTTTTCACTGTATCACCAACTGCCAAGTTGAGCGCATGTCCATAACAGTGCGTGTAGATAGCCCTAATCTCTTTGCTGGTGATGTTAGCAGCCACACCCTTTTTGGCTCCGGACATATTGCTGGATCCATCGTAGCACTGTCCACGGCACTTACCCAAGGAAATGTTCATCCTCACCAATGCATCCAGAATCACATTAGTTAGTGTTGCAGCGTCGATAGATGGCACCATACACAGTCCAATAAACTCTTCATGCACATAATTAATATGCTCATACGTTGTAATATTTTCGATAATTGTTTAATGACTTGCAATTATGTTGAATCATCAAAGCTTCCAAACATCGATCAACCAATTAATTGGACAATGAACAATTTGTAGCAAACCCGCACTTACAGCAATCATAATGACTACCCTGTTAATTGTGTACACACGCCAGGTACAGGTATATAGACATGCATGTATATCCCATTTTGACGTCTGTGTAAACAATAGCTTGTACACACTTTGCCGCTCCATTGACCACAGAACAAGCAGAATGCCGTTATACTCGCCGCTCCAATGAGCAGATTTCGCCGTTTAAAAAAATCATTTTAAAAATAAAAACAATCTCACTATTTTTTTTTTTTTTTTTTTTTTGCAAAATTATTGGGGCGGCGACCGCCGCCCCTGCCGCCCCTTTGCCGACGCCCCTGACTGACCAACAGGATGTCCAAATGGCCCTTATTTTGGTTTACATCCTTGATGTAGGTGTTTTCACACCTTCATACCTTTGGGGAGTTCTACTTGTTGCACATACATGTTGTATTTAATTAATATTTCATTTATTACAGGCATTTGTAGAAAGCATTCAGAGTGAGCTTGCCAAATTTCCACAAAAAGACCAGGATGATGTTGTAATCCTGTTTTCTGCCCACTCTCTCCCTCTTAAGGTGAGCAGGGGATCTAGCATACTATTATATTATGTTTGGAAGCTTCAACTTCTATAAATGTCAAGAAACTTATCTTAATGAAGAAAGAAATTTCAATATACAGGTTGTGAACAGAGGGGATCCTTACCCAGCAGAAGTAGGAGCTACAGTAAACAGAGTGATGGAAGCTCTAAATTACAGTAACCAGTACCGCCTGGTATGGCAGTCTAAAGTAAGAATATACTAAGGTTCATAAATCCTCTGTTCACTCATATAAAATATTTCTTAAACTCATGATTTTCAGAAAGAAATGTATTTGTTCAGTAAAATGCAAACAATCATAGCATAGTTTGCAGGGCAAAATTGGACAAAAAAAAGACACTTCAACTTCACAAATTTATAAAGAAATAATAGAAATTTATGTCTTTAAGAGTTATCTCTCTTATCAGAGTATCAATGACCCTTAATGCTAAAATGCCAGAATATAAGTATGATTTGATCTGGGTGGAGGTTGAAAATCCTGTTTGATTCTAACTACATCTGATGAACAATTCATATTTTCCTCTTAATTATTATATTTATCTAAAATGGGCTTTTCTAATCAAAGAGTATTCATCTTCCATTTTCTTTGTCTGTATTTAGCTCACCTGAGCTGTAAGCTTTTCTGATCAGAATTTGTCTGTTGACTTTCGTCATCGTAAACTTTTCATCTTGTTCTCAAGAACGACTTGGCCAATTTCAACCAAACTTGCCACAAAGTATCCTTTGTTGAAGGGGATTGAATTTTTTTCAAATGAAGGGACATGCCCTCTTCTAAGGGGAGATATTTTAATTATGAATTAGTGAAAAATTAATGACATCTTTTAAAAATCTTCTTCTCTAGAACCAATGGGCCAGAAAAGATGAAACTCACATGGAAGCATCCTATGGTAGTGTAGATTTAAGTTTGTTCAAATCATAACTCCAGGGGTAGGGTGGGGTCACAATGGGGTATCAAAGTTTATCATAGGAATACATAGGAAAAAATCTTCTCAAGAACAGTAAGCCATGATTGGCCAAGGTTATGTGGAAGCATCCTCTGGTATTGTAGATTTAAGTTTGTTCAAATCGGAACTGCCAGGGGAAGGGTGGGGCCAAAAAGGGGGATAAACTTTTAACATAGGTCTGGAATACATAGGACAAAATCTTCAAAAATCTTCTCAAGAACAGAAAGCCATGATTGGTCGTAGTTAAATGGAAGCATCCTCAGGTAGTGAAGATTCAAGTTTGTTCAAATCATGACCCAAGGGGGTTGGATGGGGCTGCAATGGGATATCAATGTTTAACATAGGAATAAATAGGAAAATTCTTTAATTAAAATTTTCTTCTTAAGAACAGCAAAGCCATGATTGATCATAGTTATATTGAAGCATCCTCTTGTAGTGTAGATTCAAATGTGTGCAAGTCATGACCCCTGAGGCAAGGATGGGGCCATAATGGATGATCAAATTTTAAGAAGGATTACATAAAAAAAATTCTTTGAAATTCTTCTTCTTGAGAACAGCAAAGCTGTGATTTTTCATATTTACATGGAAGCATCGGGAGGTCAACATTACCGTTATACATTGCCAAAAATTTCAACTCATTACCGCTACATTTTTTTTCAAATTTACAACCGATCATTACCGCTACATTTTTTGTTCGAAAACAATTCATTACTGCTACATATTGAATCAGCCAAAAACAACTTATTACCGGGACATATCGCATCAGCCAGGTATAGTACTGAATATGATCATGTATTGCTTCAAATATTTGAATATTAATACCTAGTCCATGATTTGTTGTACAAGATGCATGTCTCATTCTAAATAATTTGGAGGCGCACGTGAATGTAGGATTTTATATATGCTTGATTTATTTTTTTAAGTATCTTATGAAATTAAATAGATTTTAAATAAAAAATTTAATTAAAAAACATTCTGTTCAAAGTCCTACATTTAACTTCCTGTGGTGAGCAAAGGGAAACATGTCTTTTGCATGTTCGTTTACTTGAAATAAATCTGTATACGCAAAAGTGGCTAGCTAACAAGAGAGGCAATGAAGCGGCAATGTATACTTGTATATGTAGCAGTAATGTAAAGTTTTTTGTAGTGGTAATGACTATGTAGCAGTAATGAAAATTTCGAAAATGTAATGATACGCACCCGAAGCATCCTTGGGTAGTGTAGATTTAAGTTCAAAATATGACCCTCGGGGGTAGAGTGGGGCCACAATGGGTGATCAAGGTTATTATGCAGGAGTACATTGGAAAAGTTGTTATAATTCTTGTACAAAGGAATATAAAGCCTAATTATCAATAAAAAATTTCATCTTATAAACAGCAAAGCCATTATGTATCATTTTAATTTAAAAGCATCTGTAGGAAGTATAGATTTAAGTTTGTTCAAATACCCCCTCCCTCTGAACCCACTTTCATATTCAAACTTTTCAATACTGAATTGATTTTTGGTTTTACCTTGCCAGTTGCACAGATGAGCAATGTGGCCCCTGTGCCTTTTGTTTAATGTCTAATGTCACATTTTGATTTCTTTTCAAGAACCACAAGACAAATATTCTTCAAACTGTTGGCTGTGAATAAAAATTTTCAATTAAAAACATGGCACTTTTGAATGGTTCAATGAGAGAACAATGAAAATTTATTTAGACTTTAAAGAACGAGGGCACTTTTGATTGGCATTCGGCAGGAATCTGGGAGTAATTGAAAAGTGAAAATTTTATCGACATGTCACATAAAATTTTAACATTTTTTTTATTTATCGGGTTCATGTGCAACGTACGGGAAAGGAAAATATTTTCCCGAAATTGAGCTTTGATTTGCTAAAAAATAAGTTGAAAATTGGCCAGATCAGACATTTGGCACAAAATGGTACATTTTTAAACATGTTTTTTCTAAAATTTTTCTATCTCTGGGTCTTCTCTCCATGATTTTTAAACATTGTTTGTGTGTATTTTAATTCAAAGAAACGAATACACATTTTTAAAAAATGGATAGAAGACCCAGAGACCACAAAAAATGAACTTTTCCCCAAAAAATCCAAATGTGTAAATGTGGTGCTTCCTTGTCCTTTTAAAATCATCTGTATATGTGTAGCGGTGATAGCTCAGTAAGTTGGGCTACCTGTTCAGTTCACTCATAGCAAAAAGTTTTTGGTTCGAGCCTGGCATGGGGCATTAATTTTTTTTTTCATGCAAACAACCATTTATTTTGTCAGTTTCGTTTTATGTACTGATGTATTAAAATTTTGAATGAGATAAATTTTGGTTCAGTTTGGTTCTCGAGCGAAATCAATTCCAATCTTTTATTATATAATTGCATGTACACGTATCATGCATCTATGCATTAAATATCTTAGGTGTTTATTTTTTGTGAAACACTACTATGTTATAGTACCTCTTAGGAAAAATGGACATAAATGTTACAATTTCACAAAGTCTTTCAAACTAAATGAAAAAAAGATCTAGAAAACCTATTGTCGTGTTTGTAAAATCTGACCAGCTATGTTCAGCCAACCAAATCATGGACATTTAAACCATAAATGTTTCGTGCAAATGATTCCTGCAGATCACCCACCAAATGTGCCCATCTTCTTTATAGTTAGAATCTTCTTAATAATCATTGAACCAAGAGACAAAAAATAAAAATTCCATTTTGAGAACACAAGATACAAAAATTTTTCATGACCCCTATGGTACATGTAAGATAGGGATTCAAAGTTCATTAAGGACCCTCTCTACACCAGTACAAAATGTTTTTTGGATATTGAGAAAAATATATTCTATAAAGGTGTTAGTATTGAGCTTATTTATATGATTTTCAACATATGGTGCATGGCATTTACCCTCAGGAAAAATAATCAAACACAACACAGTATCAGTGAATAGAAATCACTGTTGTTTACTTCCTTAGAGAAAATACATGTAAATAACATGTTCAGTTAATTTATCTTGGCCTTTTAAAATGTGAAGAATACCTGAATTGATTACAAATTGTGTAATAAACTGTGAATTTCTAATTTTAAGAATTTAGATCTAAGGGCAGATCACTCTAACTGCAAAAAAATACCATAGAATCAGAACTCTTTAGTGTGCAGTGTAGAGAGGGTTCTTCAAGTTTTATTAAAACATCTTCACAAAACACAGAAGGGTAACAGTCAGAAATATCCACTCAAGTTTGTCCAAGTTTGTTCAGATCAAAGTTCCTTATGCTACAATAAGGCAGAAATAGCAATCAAATCTTTGTAAGAAATAAAGCATCTTGATAAGTAAGGAAACTCATAAGGGTTAAGATCGTTCGCCGTCATTTCCGGTCGTCACAGGAAGTGATCAAAGAAATCAGAAAAGAAGTTTTTGTGAATAGTTTTTAGGTCAGCTGAGTAAACTCAGGTGACCTATTGCTATCCGTTTTCGTCTGTCGTCGTGCATCATCCGTCATGCGTTAACATTTGAACATTTTCAGCTTCTTCTCTGCAACCACTGAACCAATTTCAACCAAATTTGGCACAAAGCATCTATGGGTGAAGGGGAACAAAAATTGTGAATTTCATGATCCCTGCCCCCTTGGGGTCTGAGGGGTGGGGCCAAAACCAATAAATTTAATGCAATCTTTAAATATCTTATTTACTCATGGACATCAAGCAGTCAAACTGTTCGCATGATTGTAATCAGCATTGAGTCCTCTACCAAAATTGTGAAATTCATGGCCCTGGGGTCAGGGGTTGTAGTGCTAGGGTGGGGCTAAATAAGTATATAGTGAAATTGCATTATTTCTTTGAAAATCTTCTCTGCTCCTGGGTATTAAATAAACCAACTAAGTACATAGTTATGATGAGCAAGAGTGCCTCTACCAAAATTGTGAATTCTATGGCCCCAAGGTCAGGGGTTCTGTTGTTAGGGCAGGGCTCTTTTGATTATATAGTGAAAATACATGAATTCTTTGAAAATTTTCTTCTCTGTTCCTGGGTATTAAATAAACTAATTAAGTGCATAGTTATGATGATCAAGAGTGCTTTTACCAAAATTGTGAATTTTATGGCCCCAGGGTCAGGGGTTCTGGTGTTAGGGCTAGGCTCTATTGATTATATAGTGAAAATTCATGAATTCTTTGAAAATCTTCTTCTCTGCTCCTAGGTATTAAATAAACTAAGTGTATATTTATGATGAGCAAGAATGCCTCTACCAAAATTGTGAATTTTATGGCCCCAGGGTCAGGGGTTCTGGTGTAAGGGCAGGGCTCTGTAGATTATATAGTGAAAATACATGAATTCTTTGAAAATCTTCTTCTCTGCTCCTAGGTATTAAATAAACTAACTAAGTGCATAGTTATGATGAGCAAGAGTGCTTTTACCAAAATTGTGAATTTTATGGCCCAAGGGTCAGGGTTTCTGGTGTTAGGGCAGGGCTCTTTTGATTATATAGTGAAAATACATGAATTCTTTGAAAATTTTCTTCTCTGCTCCTAGGTATTAAATAAACTAAGTACATAGTTATGATGAGCAAGAATGCCTCTTTCAAAATTGTGAATTTTATGGCCCCAGGGTCAGGGTTTCTGGTGTTAGGGCGGGGCTCTATTGATTATATAGTGAACATACATTAAATCTTTGAAAATTTTCTTCTCTGTCTCTGGGTATTCAGCAGATGAACTACCTATACAGGTTTGATGAGCAAGGGCCCAAATCTTGCGGAATTGTGAATTTCAAGGCTTCAGGGTCAGGGGTACCATGGGGGGGGGGGCTGTACTTATATACTGAAAAAATGAATTGTTTGAAATCTGCTCCATGGTATTAATCAAATATTTTTGAAAAGCAAGGATGCCTTTTCAAAAATTGTGCAGTATGTGGATCTAGAGAGGGATTGACATTAACTTTTATATTCACTTGTCCTTCGGGCAAGTGAACTACAATTTTGACTTGCCTGAACGCAAAACTTGGTTACCCAAAAATTTTAAAGAAGAAAATATCAGTTACTGTATCTTAATTTGATACTGTAAATATTACAGAGTTAACAAACTAATTTCTATTTTAAACTTAACTGCAAACAACTTTCCTGTAATTTACTATCCTGTAAACACACGTACAGCGATGCACTAATGATATTTCCTTTTCTTTCCTTTTTTTTTTTTTTGAAAATTACCCCCCCCCCCCCCCAAGCGATTAAGGTCAACTAAAAGGAAAACAGTTATCATGTTTTGAATCAAGATACATCATTACCGAGAATAACTGGTATTCTTTATATTCTGTAAGTGATTAAATAAACTATTCTATTATATATATTTCGTAAGAATGTATCGTAAGTTCATAATAAGTTGTCAGGCAGAGAGTGAACGAAAAAAACAGAAAACGAACCGGATTTCTGAATAAAGGTATGATCCAGAAACATTACCGAGGGATTCCGAATGCAAAAACAATGTCACGTTTTTGGCAGAAATCAACTGTTCAATTCATTGTCTTCTTTATAAACTAATGTAAGATTAAAAAAAACCTTTCTATCAGAAATATCCACTTGCCCGTTCGGACAAGTACATCGATGATTTCACTTGCCCGAACTGATGATTTACTTGTCCCGGGCAATCGGACAACCGTTAATGTCAATCCCTGCTAGACCTAAGGGTCAAGGCTTCATGTGTGGTAAGGGCACTACTGATTATTACAGAATATTACTGATTAGTTGAAATGCATTTTTTTGTTCCCCTACCCTGCCTATGGGTATTAAGTAACCAAGCTAAGCAACTGCTAAGTGTATTGTTATGATGATCAATGGTGCCTCTTTCAAAATTGTGAATACCATAGCATCTGGCTTAAAACATGAATCAAATTCAATAACTGGAAAGTTGTTGCATAATGCTTAGGTGACCTATAAGGCCCATGGGCCTCTTGTTTAATACCCTTATCTGTCACAACTTGTCCTATTTATATGTAACATTCCTGATAATCTTAAGTCATGCAAGTTTGTTCAAATATATGAGGCCTTGGGCCTATAGCTGTAAGCCTCTGAGGCTTTGATGAGGCCTCATTTAGGAGTTCTAATTTTTACATGTCTCAATTAGGAAAAAACTATTCAAATCTTTTTCTTGTTTAATGACCTCAGTTCTTTTGCACATAAATAAGAATTTTGTATTTTACATTAGATTTCAAATAAAAGATTTTTCTGATAGACTGGGGCCCATTTTACAAAAGGTCGTAAGTCGTAGACTTGGTCATATGGCCAAACATACGACATACGACCGTGGGTTTTTATTTTGCCAAATTAAATATATAAATAAAATAAGAAAGAAATTAATTTTTGTATGAGATCTCTCCAAAACTTCCTCCCAGATTTGAGAGTTTTTCTCTGTCCTCTAAAATGGCAAAATTTTTCCTTGTATTTTATCAATGGGATCTGCCACGCAATAAACAAGGGCAGAGATCTCTTCTTGTCGCCAATTTACTTTTTTAGCAATTTTTTATATAAATTGTCTGCGCATTACCTCACCTTGGCTTGCATGGTATCCAAGTTATTTTTAGCTCACCTCAACGAAGTTGGGGGGAGCTTATGTGATACCCTCGGCGTCGGCGTCGGTGTCGGCGTCGGTGTCGGTGTCGGCGTCGGCGTCGGCGTCCCGGGTTAAGGTTAAGTTTTTTGGAGCAGTTTTCTTTTTAAGTACTTCTGTGTCCTATATTGATTAGACATGCATGGAAGATGTTGCTAGTGTGTTTCATTGTACCAGTCAAAGTTTCAGATGCTGCAATTTCAGCAAAGGAATGACCAGGTTAATGTTTTTGGTGCAGGTTAACATTTTTGGTGCAGTTATTGGTGTAGGTCTCATTTCCGAGTAACTATAAGCCCTATGTTGACCAAACTTACATGGATGATACATCTTAGGATGCATACTACCAGCCTTGCTTCGGATGCTGAATCTGACCTACATTTTCCGGTTGAGTGAACAGGTTAAAGGTTTTTGTGATGGTTTCATTTTGAAGATACTTTGAGCACTATAATGACCAAACTTGCATGGATGGTACATCTTTGGATGTATTCTACTAGACTTGCTTCAGATGCTGAATCTGACCTACATTTTCCGGTTGAGTGAACAGGTTAAAGTTTTTGGTGCAGGTTTCATTTCCAAGCTACTATGAGACATATAATGACCAAACTTACATGGATGATACATCTTAGGATGTAATCTACTAGACTTACTTCGGATGCTGAATCTGACCTACATTTTCCGGTTGAGTGAAGAGGCTAAAGTTTTTGGTGCAGGTTTCATTTCCAAGCTACTATGAGACATATAATGACCAAACTTGCATGGATGGTACATCTTAGGATGCATATTACAAGACCTGCTTCGGATGCTGAATCTGACCTACATTTTCAGGTTGAGTGAACAGGTTAAAATTTTGGATGCAGGTTTCATTTCCAAGGTACAGTACTATGAACCCTATAACGACTAAATTACTATGAGACATATAATGACCAAACTTACATGGATGGTACATCTAAGGGTGCATTCTACTAGGCTGGCTTCGGATGCTGAATCTGACCTACATTTTCTGGATTAGTGGAAAGGTTAATTTTTTTATACAGGTTTCATTTGCAAGTAACTATAAGCCCTATGTTGACCAAACTTGCATGGATGATGCATCTTAGGATGCACACTAATGGACTTGCTTCAGATGCTGAATTCGACATAACATTTTCCAGATAATAGACCTCGTAAAAGTTATGGGTGCAAGTCTATCACCAAGAAACTATAAGGCTTATATAAACCAGTTGCACAAATGATGCATCAAGGGATGAAAACTCTCAATCTTGCTTCAGATGCTGGATTTTAATTACATTTTCATGATGTAGAACTAGTTTTTAGTTTTTATATAGGTCTATTCCAAAGTATCAAATTTGCATAAATTTTGCATTTTTGGATGTACACTTTTTGTTGGTTAATTGTGTGACTTAATTTGCCTTACTTAAAGACAACACACGTTGAGGTGAGCTCTGTAATCTCTGATTACCTATGTTTATATTTTTACGTGCAAGAGAGTTCCTTTATGACTTGCATGTGAGGAAAGTTATGACTTAGGAGTTACTACATGCGATTACGACACATTTCGTAAAACGGTCCTATGATTTGTCGTATGATCGGAAATTTTAAGACTTACGACTTGTAAAACGGGCCCCTGGATTAGTTAGCTAGTCTAATCTAGCCTTGTCTAAAAAAGTGTTCATCATATATAGTTCAATATATTCTTAAAAATAAAATCTACAACAGTATGGACTAGACTTGACTAACTGGACTGGCAAGTCAAACAAGACCAATTAATACTGGACTACATGTGTTAGCGTCTACTCCAGTCTATCCTTTTTCAGTAAGAGCTATTCTAGTCTAGTCCAGTCTTGTCTAGTCCCACCTAGTCCTGTTTAGTCTAATCTAAGATAGTCAGGCTGTTGTAAGCCACAAATATATTGTTTTCTTAGCCTAAGGGTGTTTGAAAAGAAATGGAATGATTGTATGTTGTCTATTTCTGTGTGTTTTAAATTTGATATGATTATTTAAAGGTTGGGCCTCTTCCATGGCTAGGACCAGCGACAGATTCAGCTATAGAAGGACTTGCTGCCAAAGGAAAGAAGAACGTCTTATTAGTCCCCATTGCCTTCACTAGTGACCATATTGAAACACTTTTTGAATTAGATCTGGAATATGCTGAGGAACTAGGAGAGAAGGTTTATTAAATTATAGTTTTCTCTCTCCTGTCACTAGCTGTTTAAGTTGTAGTTTATTTGCAATTTCTATAACATGCCCTGTGAAGGTCATGTATTTGGAATCCCTGGTTTGAATTATGTCACATTGAGTATTTTGATTCAAAGTTATGATATTGTTTTGGATAAACTTCATTAAATATCATTGTGGAAAAAAATAATAGAAGAAAAAAACGAAATTGTATTGATTTCTGAAATAGGTTCTCATTTTATGCATGTACATAGATTTCTGTAATCGAAAGTTCTTTCTTTTTTTCAGCATAATCTCAACATAAGGCGAGCCCCAGCAATGAATGACAGCTCAACTTTCATCAAGGTAGGTAAATTCTAAGTATAAATTAGTGACAGCCGCTAATTAATTACGTCAGACACTTTAATTATATAACACCACCATTTTGCTTCATATATTTGATTTCTTGAATGGTCTCTAATGTGGGTACCAAATTTGATGACATACACGATTTCATTACTAAATTGTGACTATTTCTCCGTTTGGCTTCTGTCTGACTTTTATTTCCTGGTGTTGATGTAGGCCCAGGCAGACCTTGTGAAGTCTCATCTGGAGTCCAACCGTGCCTGTTCTAAGCAGCTGCTGCTGAGGTGTCCAATGTGTGTTAACAACACTTGTGGTCAGGCCAAGCAGTTCTTCAGTGACCAGCAGGTGCTACTGGACACACACAGACAGCAGGAGAGTGTGGACAGGAAAATGTCAGCTCAGGCCTGAACTGGACAGGAGCACGTGTTATTGTTAATTCTGTCAAAATCTATAATTCCTTGAACAGTCAAACTCAGTGGTGTAGAAAAAAAATTCAAGAGATATCAGAGGATTTGAGATAAAATTCTTAAATAAATGAATTATTAGATGGGACTTCAAGATCACTTCAATATATCCATGGTACTTAAGACACTGAAGTTCAATTGTGTATCACTTTTTCATTTTACTTTATGTATGCCCGGTCAAAAGAGGGTCTTGTTCAATAACAAAGATTGGTAATTCTTAGAATTCTTTAAAACTTGTAATTAAAAATAAATATTTTCCCATTTAATGTGTTAATGAAGATATGTTTAGTTACCAGGTATGTGAACATCCATGTGTTCAAGTCTTTTTTAAAAGTCACGTACATGTGTGTATATTTTCCACAAAGATTAGTTGACTGGGTTTCTCCAGGGAAACTTTTGATTAAAAGTTCATTTTCAAAACTATGAACCAATAATTTGTATAGATTTTTTGTGATGAACCCTTTATGTTAAATAATTATGATGCTTTAGTATAGTTTACAATTTAATTCTTGTCAGAAAAACTTGGTCAGGAATTGATTTTTTTGTGATTTGTCGGAATCAGTTTAAGACTGATTAAAAGATACTCCATCGTTTTGTGGTGTATAAACCATTGTGATAAACAAATCCTATAAATGATCTTGTAGAAATCCTTTGTCTTTCATTATTACAAAACAAGGAAATACTTTAACATTGTTAGAATTGAAGCAGTCTGGTCTAGATGTATGCCAGTTGGGAGGATTTGCACTGTATGAGGAATGAATTGTAGTATTTCTTTTTTAAATAAGGCTATCTAAATTTAATTCTCTGGTTCTCGGGCCAGTTTTCTCCAAAACAGATGCGGAAGGGAGGCATTTTATTTATCATTTTATTGGCAATAAAGTAGATGAGGGAGGTACTGTAAATCACTTTTTATTGATTTTCGCGGGAAAATTAAATTCTCGCGTATAATAGTAAGATTATATTAACCGCAATTCGTGAAAATTTTACTATCGCGAAAATAAGGTGTCGCGAAAATTAAGTGATCTACAGTATTTTTTTAAATTTTAATTTTCGAGTTTTCTTTAAAATAAAGATAATTTAATTTATTCACAGATAAACTTTCCATGTCCCATCAAAAGGTTTGCTTTATCCATTACTTATCAGCGTGTGAACATCGTAGGCAATTTTCGAACGTACTTTCAAACGAAGTAGCCAAAATCCCCGAAAGTGATATTTGAGTACTAAACTACAAAAAAATGAAGAAACTTTTTTTCCGGATTGGTGTCTGCAATACCAACTTTTTATTTTATCAAAAATACTATAAAATTAGCAATGTGGCTACCTCAAAATGGATTTCGCAGGCCTGAGAACCAGAATTTCAATCTTATGTAGCCTAACTTCTTTCCTAATCTACCAGTAATTAAAACATTCTTATATGGTCAATTCCACAATCTCTAATCTAATCTAAAACCAATTAAACAGCTCAAAATATTTTTTCAACCTGAATTTTAAACTGCTTTTGTGAGCATAGAATGTGTATACATTTTTAAAGCTTTGTTTTTATTGTCATGAGGCCCCTGTATGCCTTTCTGTTTGTCAGCAATTGAAGCTTGTATAACAAACCGGAGAAGGAACACAGGTTTAATAAATTTATTAGGACAAGAGATGTTTGTAAAACACTTATGCCCCCCTCCCCCCAAATTGGAATTTTTCAAAGTCCAAAAGGGCATAACTCTGTCAAAAATGGCACGATCATACCCAAAACAGATCTTGACCTAGATAGTCATCTGGTAAATCTGTATACTGAATTTCATTTCAGTATGTGCAACCTCTGCAAAGAAATTGAACGGAAACTGCAAATAATTGGAATTTTTCTAAGTCCAAGGGGCATAACTCTGTCAAAAATGGCAGGACCGTACCCAAAACAGAACTTGACCTAGATATTCATCTGATATATCTGTATACCAAATTTCATTTCAGTATGTGCAACGGTTGTGATGAAAATGAACGGAAACTAGTGCTAATATTCATCCCCAAACGCTCCCCAAATCCCTTTTTGTGCCTAATTCCTGTAAAACATTTTTTAAAATATGACCAGTATCGATTTAATCAAAGATTATAAAAGGTACAATGATATCAACTATATGTCATTTAACGCATTGTACGCGCATGCACGTGCATGAACATGCAAGCTGATCATAGCATGTTGTCTAAACAATTAACATATCTATATATCGTGAGAATAAATAAAAAAAATTCCTTACAATATATTCTAATGTTTTTTTTTAAAATATTGGCCATTTTGCGTATTTCGTGCGCGCGTCTGCATGAATGAATGCTCGTGCATTCAATTTTGATAGTACCATTATGTAGGAATCCATTATACCTATTCATATTCTAAATCTTATCCCGTTTGGTTGAAAACTAAGAAAGGTATAGATATTTAAATTTTCAGCCAATCAGATTGCAGCACACATGCAAGTGCATGCTTTTCATGATAATTCTTGTACACCATGCTGTACATCTTTATAATGTATAATCATGTTCAAAATTTCAAAGAATTTTGTCGAAAAACCGACTTTAGTTTCAGCCAATCAGAGCGAAGCGCACGTGCATGCGCGTGAGATCTTGCTATTTTTACCATGTCATCTAGTCTATGCTTCTAATATATCCTTATATTATAGGTTTCAAAACATTTCATAAAAAATTTGAATAGTTATATCTATATCGATTATATTGGACATTTCTGGTGTTGCACGTGCACGCTCTTGCAAGCACATGTGCATGCACATTCTTTTATGATAATTCTTCTATATCATCCCTAATGTATGACTATATTCAAAATGTCAACTTTGCATGCGAGATCTTGTATTTTGACCACATCATCTTGTCTTGTGTAAAATTTAAAAAGTTACGGCCAAAAGCCATGTTCCGCAAATCTACATAACATTTTGACCCTAAAAAGATTTCACCTTAGTCGGATGTGTAGTTTACAAGATCATCGCGGAAAAGATTTTCCCAGGAAGAAAAATAATAATAATAATAATAATAAGAAACAGAGTAAAAACAATATGTTCCCCAACTTCGTTTGGGGAACATAACTAAGTGGACTGACCGACCGACAGAGAGCAGCAAATCAATATGCCCTCCCTTTTTCGAAGGGGGGCATAAAAAGAACAAGAGGCCCACAGGCCTTATCGGTCACCTGAGTATCATGTAACAACTTTCCAGCGATTGTATTTGGTTTGTGTTTTAATCCAAAAGCCATGAAATTCACAAATTTTGAAGGAGGCACCATTGCTTTTCAAAGGGCAAACTTCAAACTAAGCATTAATTTATTTTTAGTCAAAGTACCCCCTTGGTACCCCTGACCCAGCAGCCCTGAAATTATCTATTGTGAAAGAGGCCCCTTTCTTCATTATAAGGCCAGCATTTTTTTTATGTTTAGGTTTAGTTATGAACATGAGAATAAAAAAGTCCAGAAGGAGAAGGAAATAAAAAAAAAATTTGATAAATCAATTATTAACATTTGTACATTCTTTTTTTATGCTATTCTAATAGGCTCCTTACCACTGGACACATAATGCTTACAAATAGGAAAGTAGAACATTCAATTGCTTATTTCATCATCTGCCAGTTTGGGCCAGTTATATAAATTTTGTGATGTTGGTCAAAATATATTTTTAAAAAATCAATTCTTTAAAAGTCTTTCAATGTATCTTCATTTTTTTAATATGTGTTAGGTGAATGTGTAGACAATGTTCTAAAATTTACTTGATGCCTAAAATTATAATTCCTATCATAAAACAGACAGGGAGTATTGGTGAGTAGGGTGAACATTTTTTCAACTAAGTGTAAAATAATTTTTCTGGCTGATATATTTGTATATTCTTGCATTTTAATAGTTGATTTTTTTTTTAATTTCTTCAGGTTATTCATTACATCTGATGCATAAGCAACCCTTTTCTGAAGAATGATGCTTAGACTGTAAGCTATAACAGAGACCTAAACAATGTCGCTGGCAATATGCAATAGCTACCACGGGCAGTTTAAAACCTGGGGGAGGAAAATAGTTTACAGACAGATACTTTTGAAACGAATACATAATTATCTCACCAGCATATCATTGTGCAACAAAGTCGTCAGCATTATATTTGTCCTTCGAACGGGTGAAACGTTTTGAATGGCACTGGTATCGATGAATTTTACACTAAACCAAGCTATCTGGACCCGGACCACAATTAGCTTACATATAGACTTATATAGTAAAAACATGTGTTTTATTTTCTTTGTAACTTTTTTAAAAATCTTCATTTCCAAAATGTCTTTGACCACATGATAGAGCAATGTGTCAGATAAATATTCACATCCAGAAATAGGGGTGTTGAATGTGGAATTCCCTGGTTATCAATAAACTTCTGACGTCATGACCTCAGGATAGCTCTCGCTTGGCAAAAAAAGTGTAAACAAACCAAATGAATGCTCTTTTCAATTCATATTTCTAGGCATAATTTTTGCTTGAAATGCACCTTGCTGCATATCATTGTAAACTTTAGACACTCTACTTTTATTCTATACCCCAAAAGTATCTAAAACATGTGAGCTATTTTTATTTTTATCATTGAAAGGGAGGCATATGAATTTCCTACATGTGCTACGTTTTAGCCATTTGACCTTCACCCTTTAATTGTGGCCCGGATCCTATATGGAGGCATAAAATTCATTAAAAAATTTTAAGGCCATATTTGAAATCCTTAGATACTACTTAACTAATATACCAAGTTTGATTGAAATTGGTTGATATCTACATGTAAAATTACATATTGTGTATACTAAGGCAATACAGGAAAGAAAATGGCAAAAAATGGCAAGTATGAAATTTTAAAATTGAAATATGTAAAAACTGTTAGACAATAAAAGGAACTAATTATTACAAGTAAGTTGTTGATACCTCTTAAATACACACACACTCTTAAATATGTAAAATACAAGATTTTTAGATTTCTAGGTAATTTGATGATCTGTACCCTGTATTTTCATAAAATTTTCTTAAATTAAGAAATATAAAATCTATCATGAAAATCTGAGAGTGACAATAGGGGTAACCATTTAAAGTACATTTATTCATAAATCAAATGATGTATCACATTACTTATAAAAGTGTACATAACATTCAAAATAAACAGATTTCTAAGCCCACCCCCATATCCTTTTTCCTGACTGTGAAGAGGGGCCATGTGCAGCTGATTGGCTAAGAGTCTTTGTATAGGTAATCTTAATACCCTATGGGAGTCTGTTTTGACAGGTGATTGTCAAAGGAATATATTGCAGTAAATACCACTAAAATGTGTCCAAATAAACATTGTCATAATTCAATCTTACTTTCTAATCCACTCTTCACTACACATGAAAACAATGAAAGGTGACCGTAAAAGAAGAAAAAATCTTAATTTTGGGTTTTAAAAAGGAAACACTCGTTATATTAAGGCTCATCAGGCTACGTCAAATGCCGCAGGAGCTTCAAGTTCAGCGTCAAACATCCAGGGATCCCCAGAGACTGAGACAGCACATCCCCTTGCTGAAGGCCAGGAAAACATCTCAAGGACACCGATCCTTCGTCCCAGACCTGAGCCATGCCAGGAGCTAAAAAATGAAGAGACGGCTTATG